TTTTAACTTCAAATGAATATACTTCATCAAAACCAGCAAATAAATTTTAAAGTTGATACCTATAAGAATTGAAGACTGATATTTTGCATAACATGTTTAGTTTTTATTTTTTATATACGATATATAATACGTGGTTCGTCAAGTTACACTATTCACAATCTAATACTGTGTACCATCTTTAATACTAAGGTTATGTACGCACTGGTGCTTTTTCATCACCGTGACTTTTGTATCTTGTCACCGTGGTCTGTGACGTGGTTGAGAAACCTAGCGGGGTGGCGCGCGCTTTTAGACTCGTAACAATTACTTCCATAGAAAGTAGGAGTACGGTGTCAAAAACAATAAGTCATGATGGCAAAAATTCACCGAAGCGGTCTTAGCCCCATATATATTTATATAAGTTATAAAATGAGGTCCCTGAGAAGATTAGGTACAAACAAGAAACAACCTATAGATATAAAATATCACTGGGTATCGTAATCAATAAAAGTAAATAAAATGGTATTCGACGATCTCAATACATAAATAAAACTACATTCTACTGTAAAATAAAAATGTTCAAATCAAATAAAGACATGCTTTCACGGGACTTTACCTTCGAAAATGATACTTGTAGCACCCGCGTATGATGTTGAAGGATTTTCATAATCGGATCAGTATTTCTAAAGATTACACACAAAATAAGATAATTTTCTGCTGTATAATATTAGTAGAGATGTATAATTTATTACTACCTCTTTGCTGTATGAGTAGCTCACTGGGTGAAGGTGCTGGACTGAGGTATCCAGAAGGCAGGGCAATAGACACCTCGCTAGTGTTTGTGGTCCGTACTGTAACATCAGCGAGGGCTGCGCGTGTGCGACGCTCTCCTTCCGGGGTCACCGCACCCTCCATAGCTTCTTGCTCCATGGTTATCTTAACAACAATTCAGACAGTAAGCTTAGGTCAAATATTCTCATTGCAATACTAGCAGTGAAGTGACCAATACTAAAGGAATTCCATCATCACTTATACTAAACGTATATAATATTATCATTAATCTAAGTGCATAACACTATCCATACAAATTTAGAAGATTCCTTGGAGCTTAGTCATTATTTGCTAATGAAAATTTGCGCAACTGGACATAAGTGACTCATTAATAGTTTGCATCCTGGATTGTTTACTATAACTTTTGGAAAGGAAACAGGTTTGTAGCAGGTTAAACGATACATGCTACAGATACGATAATTATGTACCAAAGTTCGATAAACATTTAAAGACATATGTAATTGAATGTAAGCAACATATGTAGAACATTAAAATAACAAAATATGGAAATATGTTTTAGTATGAGAGAAATTAATAATAAATTCCATTATGATGATTTATTTTTTTCATTTTTACAGATATTATTTTGTGCAGACTGCTAAATAACACAAAAACAGGCCATAGCCCACTATACAAGCCTTGTATGAATTGGTAGGTGTATGCAGGCAGCAAATGCATGCATGCAATGCTGAGACTTACGATTTAAAATGTCTTCGAAAACATGGATGAGGAAAAACAAGTTAACTACCTTAACGAAAGTGGCTTGACTCTCATAATCACAGCGTGAATATATGTGAAGAGAATTCTCAACTCGTTCACTTTTCGATCTGGTATAATTTTAATCTGTCGTGTATGCACAGTTACACCCAAGGCGGAAAATTTAGACTTCAATAACGATATAAATTTACAATGCGAGTCTGCAATATCCGATTAAATTAAATTAAAGAAATTTCTAAATAACTTTTAACCATAAGATCAAATCTTTCATTTTATGATACTGACAATGTTTATGGCTAAGGCAACAACTGTATAATATAATTAGCAAAAATAACTTACCAACAAATCAATCGTCTTAATCTAAACACTACTATATCACGAATGCATCAAATATCAACGCATGTCATGCTATTTGTATACGTACTCTTCATTTAAACCCTAATTAGCAAATTACCTTGCTAATGATAACGTTAATTTCATAATTAAATGCTATCAACAACAAACACGCCCATTTTAGCAAGTTTCGTTTCAATTATAGGTACTTATGCAGCTACAAAAAAATGAATAAATATTTTTGATTTGATTTTTAATATAAGTTCAGTTCTGTCAAACTGCGTTTTTAATTTCGAAAATAACATAACAGATGTAAACTTCGTATAGGGGAGAATAAATGAATTTCCGATTATTTTTAAGGCAAGTGACGATCTTACTACCATCTATGTAGTCTTGTATATATGTATATATAATATATGTAATGTGTACAATCTCGACTTAATCCCCTTATAAACGTCCGACACGTCTCCAAGGGGAAAATCCGCTTACACTACGAGACAGAGCAAGACAGGGATAAGGCCGCCGACCAACTGCGCGCCACAGCATCCAATTCTTTCACTGCGGAGCCCTAGAGGAAAATCCTACCCAATTGTCCTCCTCAATAGCATCCATGAAGATACTCCACATGATCAGCTGACATTTGAATTGGTGTAACGCAATGCGCAGTTTAACCTTACTACCGACGATCTACTGAACTCATTGCGGGCTTACAAAACATGCCTGCAAAAAGTGTCCCTCCACTGCGTCACCACCTACGTGCATTAATTGCAAAAACCTTAATTAATCTCCGAAAATGCTTTTTGTAGGGCTATACGTATTTGCAATAAGCTGCCAAAACACCTCACTGACATGACTTACACGAAGTTCCAAAAACAGCTGCATGAATATTTAATTAATAGAATGTAATATAATATTAAAGATTTTTTAAAGGATAAAATTGGTAATTCAATTAAAGTTTAGATAACATTTAATTTGACTTTTGTAATGATAATTCGTAAATACAATATTGTATTCAAATGGTTAATTGTTAATTATTGATATGATTTATACTGTAACATTAAATTCTTTATATTTTAATATTAAAAAAAAAAAAATTGCACACTGTTCATATAATGTAGAATATGAGAAACTATTGTTAATAACTATGTAATATCATTTGTACCATATTCTTGCAAATAAACTACTATTATTATTATTTATAAGGTTTATTTTATACTAGCTGTGCCCGCGACTTCGTCTGCGTGGGAAGTATTTTGGTAGAATTATTTTTTTCCTATGAATGCAGACGAATCGAATAAGATCAATGGGCCATAACCCACTACGCGGGCTTAATGCGTATCGGTGGGTGTTAACGTTGCTGATGCAGCCAGGACTAACGCCTTAACGTGCATTATGCCAATGTTATACACCGTGCTCAAGATAATAGTTTTATATATGGTCTTCCTTTTTTCCTCTTGAATAGAGTAGATTACCCTAAAGGACGACCGTTAGGACTATGTAGCATTCTACATAATATGTTGCTTCTACATATAGAAGCAACATATTATGTAGGTAGGTATGTCCATGTCAATGATAGACGTAAGTAATTTATTATTATTAACAAATAAAATGTACAGCGAAAAGGAAGAACTGCAGATGCTTATCTGATATTTTAGGTCTTTAAACGTAGTAGGTAGCTACCAAAATGAATAAAACGAGAACTTAATCAAAACATACACTTTATTATTGTAAGTGTAAAATATACTTTACAAAACCGTACTTATTGAAACGATATCATGAAATATTTTGTTACGATAAAAATTAAGCATATTCCATGATTTTTATTTAATCTTTTTTCCAAGGCACATTATCATACAGTCCATATTCCATTAAAAATATAATTTGCTAAGTACACAGCTGCATGTCAGGTTAACACAAAAGTATATAAAATTTCTGCAATCGATTTTGAACTCAACAATGTAGATGTAAATAAAATGTACAACTGATGCAGCTTTGTAGCACACAAGGTTGCCACCTTTTAAGAAACAACATTCGGGACATGTCATGAGAAGAAATCGGACTTAAAATCCAATATAAATCCTTATTATAAGCGTAAGTACGCGGAAAAATTTAATACTTTTTTGTTATTAATTTTTTATATAAACAGTCATACTAAAAAAAGAATCATATTTTTTTATCGAATTTTATCAAAAAACGGGACAAAACAATTAAGAAATCAGGACGTGGGATTCGGGAAAGCTGGCAACCCTGGTATCACCTGACTTGCTGTCGATTGTATTAAAATTAATCACAATCAAACATACTTACTATCACTAAATTTATTACAAACTAACTTTCTTTTATTTTCAAATTTAGATTTTATTATGATAGGGATCATGATTAAAATATTTTCTTTTTATCTTAATAAATTAATTGTATTATTTAATGTATTAATGAAAAATATTAAATATGTTTTTTTTATAATCTTTAAATAACTGTAATAACTGTAACATCGCACCTATGTAGATTTTCTACACAGTTGTGACGTAGTGAACCCCCACTAAGCAACTTAAATGCCTATTATATAAGTAATTTCATGCTATCTTTAATAAAAAAAAATACATATCTAATATTTTTCTATTACGTAACAGACATCAAACCTAGTTTAATTTTAGTTCAAAACTAATGACAAATATTGTGTAAATTCTTTAAAAAAATGCATCAATGATTTTAAATTATAGTAATTTAGGCACTTTCTACTACAACATTATTTTAATAATTTCACATCAATTAAAATAACCATAAAATTTAATTTTCGTCTTAATATTTGAGTGTTCATAAATTATCAATCTATTAATTTGATTCATTTCAAAATCAGTCTTTACAAAATAAATTTGAATGTAGAAGACATTCTCTATACAGCTTTATTTTAATTAGTAAAAAAACATGGCAACCGCATCATAAAACAATGAGTAAGTATCCACTCATTCATCATACACTAATGTACAATATTCTGCATCTTACATACTTGTATTTCTGTAGTAGAAATGACTGATGTATTTTCAACAATTAATTTATTATACATTATTGTACATCAAACTTTTGAGGAGGCTGATGTCACTGAAATCTATCTTCCCTGGTGTGAGAGGAATTCTTTCTGCTCAGTCTAATAATAGCCGCTTTCTCAGCGTAGATCGCAAGGTGGCACCCAGTTTTGGAGGCGAGACCCGACCGGAGGTTTTAGGTGGTGTACGTACTAATGAATGAAACGAAGAGTTACGTTTGAATTCCATATCCGGGGAACATGTTGTCGGGCAAATTTTTCGACCTGAAAGAACAAAATTTAAATATCCTTTAATAATAAGATAAGATATTGTTAATGTGACAGATTATATATACTTTATTGCACAATACGAATATGACAAACACAACACGGAAATTGTTTTTAATTAATTTGTGAAAATAATCATAATGGAAAATATTCTTTATGAAAAATTCTTAAAAAGTCCAGTTTGTCCCTCGCACTCTGAGATGGGACTCGAACTAATGACCTTTCGCACTCGCCGGATTGCGATTTGATTTTTTAGCATTTTTCATTAACAATATTGTTCAGTACAGCATTGTGAATGCTAAATTGTTCAAAAATAATAATAATCATAATGGATTATTATCAAATCTCCGATACAATATAAACCGTGTATTTAGATACAAAGTGGCTCACATTGTGTAATGTTTGTTATGAAACATTTTTATTTTGTAAATAACCCTGTACCAAATATTTTTTTGTTATATTAATTGGCTAAATTATGAAATTTAAGGTTTATAATGTTCACATTTTTTAGCAATCATTTAATGTTTGCTGTATTTATTTTATTGCCAACTTTTATTTAACTCATTTTTTTTACTTCAAATGAATATACTTCATCAAAACCAGCAAATAAATTTTAAAGTTGATACCTATAAGAATTGAAGACTGATATTTTGCATAACATGTTTCCTCCTTATTTTTATATAGGATATATAATACATGGTTCGTCAAGTTACACTATTCACAATCTAATACTGTGTACCATCTTTAATACTAAGGTTATGTACTCACTGGTGCTTTTTCATCACCGTGACTTTTGTATCTTGTCACCGTGGTCTGTGACGTGGTTGAGAAACCTAGCGGGGCGGCGCGCGCTTTTAGACTCGTAACAATTACTTTCATAGAATGTAGGAGTACGGTGTCAAAAACAATAAGTCATGATGGCAAAAAATCACCGAAGCGGTCTTAGCCTCATATATATATCTAAATAAGGTATAAAAAGAGGTCCCTGAGAAGATTAGGTACTACTACGACTGAACCAAAGAAACAACCTATGGATATAAAATATCATTGGGTATCGTAATCAATAAAAGTAAATAAAATGGTATTCGACGATCTCAAGACATAAATAAAACTACATTCTTCTGTAAAATAAAAATGTTCAAATCAACTAAAACATGCTTTCACGGGACTTTGACTTCGAAAATTATAGCACCCGCGTATGATGTTGAAGGATTTTCATAATCGGATAAGTGTTTCTGAAGATTACTCCCTACAAACAAAATAAGATATTTTTCTTCTTTATAATATTAGTACAGATGTATAATTTATTACTACCTCTTTCCTGTATGAGTAGCTCATTAGGTGAAGGTGCTGGACTGAGGTATCCAGAAGGCAGGGTAGTAGACATGTCTCTAGTGTTTGTAAGCCGTGCTGTAATCTCAGCGAGGGCTACGCGTGTGTGATGCTCTCGTTCCGTGGTCACCGCACCCTCCATAGCTCCTTGCTCCATGGTTATCTTAACAACAATTCAGACAGTAAACTTAGGTCAAATTTCTTATTCCAATACTAGCAGTAAAAGTAACTGTTACTCAAGGAATTCGATGATCATACATTATATTATCATTAATTTAAGTGCATAACATTATCTACACAAATTTTGGAAAATTCCTTAAAGCTTAGTCATTCAATGCTAATGAAAATTTGCGCAACTGGACATTAGTGACTCATTAATATTTTGCATCCTGCATTGTTTACAATAACTTTTGGAAAGGAAACAGGTTTGTAGCAGGTTAAACGATACATGCTACAGACAAGATAATGATGTACCAAAATTCGATAAACATTTAAAGACTAAGAAGAATATTAAAATAACAAAATTTGGAAATAGGTTTGACTATGAGAGAAATTAATAATAAGTTCCATTATGATGATTTATTATTTCATTTTTACAAATATTATTTTGTGCCGACTGCCAAATAACATAAAAACAGGCCATAGCCCACTACACAAGCCTTGTATAAATTGGTAAGTGTATGCAGACAGCAAATGCATGCATGCAATGCTGAGACTTACGATTTAAAATGTCTGCGGAAACATGGATGAGGAAAAACAAGTTAACTACCTTAACGAAAGTGGCTTGACTCTCATAACCACAGCGTGAATACATGTGAAGAGAATTCTCAACTCGTTCTCTTTTCGATCTGGTATAATTTCAAACTCTCATGTAACACCCAACACCCACAGTAACACCGAAGGCGGAAAATTAAGGCTTCAATAACGAGACAAATTTACAATGCGAGTCCGCAATATCCGATTAAATTAAATAAAAGAAACTTCTAAATAACTTATAACCATAATCTCAAAATTTTCATTTTATGACACTGACAATGTTAAGGCTAAGGCAATAACTGTATAATTAGCAAAAATAACTTACCAACAAATCAATCGTCTAAATCCAAACACTACTATATCACGAATGCATCAAATATCAATGCATGTCATGCTATTTGTATACGTACTCTTCATTTAAACCCTAATTAGCAAATTACCTTGCTAATGATAACGTTAATTTCATAATTAAATGCTTTTAACAACAAACACGCCCATTCTAGCAAGTTTCGTTTCGATTATACTTATAGAGCTAGAAAAAAATGAATAAACATTTTTTATTTGATTTTTAATATAAGTTCGGTTCTGTCAATCTGCGTTTTAAATTTCGAAAATAACATAACAGACGTAAACTTCGTATAGGGGAGAATAAATATATTCCTTTTATGACTTAAAAATACGTTTAGACATAAAAATGCCAGATCACAGACAATTAAAATTTCAGAATGCTCAACTGAATGAGCAAAAAATCCCGACTGCGTAAAAACGAATTTTAAAAAATACATGAAAAAATTAACGTAAATAAAAACTTAAAAGGAAGAAACAAGCCCACTTAACAGAATTCTAAACTACTGGGCTTGTTTCTTTCTTTTGAGTTTTTCTTTAAGTAAATATTTTCATGTATTTTTTAAAATTCGTTTTACGCAGGCGGGTTTTTTTTGTTTTTCTTTAAATTATTGATTTTTATTTTATTCTTTTTAGTTACGATTCGTTGACTTATAAGATGGCAAAATATATCGCAATCTAATCATTTCAATGAGGGAGTTAATATAGTGGGGATTATTAAGTAACTTGCGGTGGTCTAGACTACTGATGATTAGTCCCTCTAGAGACCTAACTCGGCTCAAAGCTACAAATGCTTTATTTTTTTAACAAAAATATTTGTTCTTCATGCTTTTCCACTGTTTTTTTTTTTTTGTTTGCATATCGTATATACTTTAAGTAAAAACAAATCAATAAGTAAGAAAATTACCGATACTGTTTTGTTAAACAACTTTAAATCGTTATATATCCTAAACTATTATTTAAAATGAAAAATGATAAAAGGAACCTATAATTTTAAAATCGCTATTCAACGACACCCCACTTGACATAGTTCATAGATTTTTATTTTTTTCATTTTGACAATATGGCGTCTGGTGGTCGCTGTGGTGAATTTTGATACTGTCTTGTCTTTAGTGTCACTCGCAAGGTTAAGACGAATCGATTGATGAATGAATCATCAAAATCGGCCTACCCATTTGGTCTCTAGAACGCCACATAGAAACAAACATACATACATACATACATACATACATAGACTGATAAACACATTACCCTCCTTTGCGTCGCGCAGTCGGGTAATAAAATAGTTTGAATTTCCGATTATTTTTAAGGCAAGGTAACGAGCTTACTACCGTCCATGTAGTCTTGTATATATGTATATATAATGTGTGTAATGTGTCCAATCTCGACTCAGTCCCCCTATAAACGTCCGACACGTCTCCAAGGGGAAAATCCGCTTACAATACGAGACAGAGCAAGGCAGGGATAAGGCCGCCGACCAACTGCGCGCCACAGCATCCAATTCTTTCACTGCGGAGCCCTAGAGGAAAATCCTACCCAATTATCCTCCTCAATAGCATCCATGAAGATACTCCACATGACCAGCTGACATCTGAGTTGGTGTAACGCAATGCGCAGTTTAACCTTACTACCGACGATCTACTGTACTCATTGCGGGCTTACAAATCATGCCTGCAAAAAGTGTCCCTCCACTGCGTCACCCCACCTACGTGCATTAACTGCAAGAACCTTAATTAATCTCCGAAAATGCTTTTTATAGGGCTATACGTATTTGCAATAAGCTGCCAAAACACCTCACTGACATGACTTACACGAAGTTCCAAAAACAGCTGCATGAATATTTAACCAATAAAATGTATCATAATATTAAAGATTTTTTAAAGGATAAAATTGGTAATTCAATTAAAATTTAGATAACATTTAATTTGACTTTTGTAATGATAATTCGTAAATACAATATTGTATTCAAATGGTTAATTGTTAATTATTGATATGATTTATACTGTAACATTAAATTCTTTGTATTTTATGTAACATAAAAAAAAAAACAAAAATTTGCACACTGTTCATATACTGTAGAATATGAGAAACTATTGTTAATAACTATGTAATATCATTTGTACCATATTCTTGCAAATAAACTACTATTATTATTATTTATAAGGTTTATTTTATATGTTGCCTTCCTTTTTTCCTCTTGAATAGAGTAGATTACCCTAAGGGGCGGCCGTTAGGACTATGTAGCATACTACATAATATGTTGCTTCTACATATAGAAGCAACA